CTTCCCTGACATACTTGTTTCACTCCACCCACTAGGGCCTCCCTGCTTTGTCTCTAACAGTCCAGGCACCTCCTCAGGGCTTTTGTATTTGGCACTCTATTGTTTGAAAGGTTTACTATATGGGTCTCTTCATCTCCCTTAATCTTTGCTCCAAGTCACATTTTCAGTGAGGCTTTCCTTATTCATTATCTTTTATTTTTTAATTTTCCCCCTTTTTCTTTTATTGAAGTTTAGTTGACACACAATGATACATTAGTTTCAGGAGTACAAGGTAGTGATGTGACAAATCTGCTTGTTATGCTATGCTCACTACAAGTGTGGCTACCGTCTCTCACCATACTACACTATCATAATACCATTGCTATAGTCCCTCTGTGTACCTTTTATACTTCCCGCTCCCCTTCACCAACTTTGTTTATCCCCCCCAACCCCTTCCCCTGTGGCAACCATCAGTTCATCCTCTGTATTTATGAGTCTGTTTCTGCTTTTTGTTTTTTCGTTTTTGCAGATTCCACATATAAGTGAAATCCCTATGATACATGTCTTTTTCTGTCTGACTTATTTTACTTAGCATAATACCCTCTAGGCTTATCCATGTTGCTACAAATGGCAAGAGTGCATCCTTTTTTATGGCCAAATAATATTCCTCTGTGTGTGGGGTGTGTGTGTGTGTGTGTGTGTGTGTGTGTGTGTGTGTGTACACACACCACATCTTCTTTACCCATTCATCTATTAATGGCCACTTGCGTTGATTCCATATCTTGGCTATTGTAAATAATACTGCAATAAACATACAGGTGCACATATCTTCTCAGATTAGTGTTTTTGTTTTCTTGGGGTAAATACTCAGTAGTGGTATTATGGATCATATGTTATTTCTCTTCTATTTGATGAACCTCATTCTGTTTTCCACAGTGGCTGCACCAATATACATTTTCAATAACAGAGCGCAAGTTTCTTTTTCTCCGCACCCTTGCCAATACTTGCTATTACATATTATTTGGAGTTTAGCCATTCCGACAGGTGTAAGGTGATATCTCATTGAGGGTTCAATTTGCATTTCCATGACAGTGAGTAATGTTGAGCCTCTTCTCACATCAGCCTTTAAACCTCATGCACATGCACAGAAACACGTACATAGAAACCTTTCCTTCTTCAATGCTTTACTTTTTCCAGTAGCATTTATCACATTCTAACTTACCATATAATTTAAATTTTTATACTTTATTTTTGTCTCTTACCACTAAATAGTAAATTTCATGAAGGCAGCGATGCCTTCAGGTATTCCTAGTTCTTGGGCCAGTATCAGGTACATAGCAGACACTCAGTAAATATTAGACAAATAAATGATCTGTATCAGTTTTTTCATCAGTAAAATGGGAATAAAAAGAATAGTAACTACACCATAGAGTTGGGAGAATTTAGTAAGTTAGTATACATAAAGTGTTATCAGAGAGCCTGGCACAGAGAAAGCATTGAAGAGGTGTTTGGCTTGTAATCTCCCTACCATTTATACCGATTCTTCTCTTGTTACTCAATGAGCACCAAGCAACGCCTCTCAAGAGGGAACAATAGTAAGATGTTGAGAATACACTGCGTCCTAGCAATGAAGATATATGTAAATACTTGCTATTTTATATAATTTAACAAGCCCTCAACAAGTAAGGATGTTGCAGTGATTGCTACTGAATCTCTCGGTGTGTATTTTGAGGACAGAATGTTCATCATCCTTATTTTTCTATTGGAGGCACACACGTTAATACGGACAAAGTAGGGGTGCCTGGGTGGCTCAGTGGGTTAAAGCCTCTGCCTTGGGCTCAGGTCATGATCTCAGGGTCCTGGGATCGAGCCCCGCATCGGGCTCTTTGCTCAGCAGGGAGCCTGCTTCCTTTCCTCTCTCTGTCTGCCTCTCTGCCTACTTGTGATCTCTGTCCATCAAATAAATAAATAAAATCTTAGAAAAAAAAACAAACAAACGGACAAAGTAACCTAAACCTTAGTCTCTCACCTGTTCAAAACTGACCACAAAGGGCAGGCAGATGAGCTAAATCCTCACGACTGCTGTAGTTCCACATTCCTTTGTCATTTGTTGGATTTAGGCGATGACCTTCACGTCTAGAACCAGCACCAGTCTTTCCCAGTTTGAATATTGGCACAAACCACAGACCATATTAATCTTATTTCAAAATGTCAAAATTCCAATATTCAGAGCATGTGAAGCTGTGCAAATATCCTTCGAGAATACATTAAAAAAATCAAAGTATTATCATTGGTTTTATTCCTTCATCCCCTCGCAGCATATACCAAACTGAATCCCAAAGATTCCAGCAAACTTATTTCCATTTACATACCAGTGAGGCCAAAGGGGGAAAAGGGGGGGGGGCTAGTATCTGGAAACAGAAACTCAATGGAGAGCCAAACCTCAAACTTACACATCTATGAAAATTAAAAGTCTCTCCTGACAAAGTAGGTCAAATATCACTGATGTGTGGCTGTTGGATGGTCAGTCTTACTCACTCCCTGGTAAATACAAAGCACCAAAAAAATCAACTTTATAATAAATAGGATCATAGCTGGCTGCTTGTCTCTGATTAAATATAACTTCTGCTATTTAATTCAATTACTTCAGACAGAATTCTATGACATTTGACTCTGAATAAAACATTTTAACACCAAGTTTGAAAACAGCAGTGTGTGGTTGTACATATCATTCATTGTACCAGGATATCTAGCTAAGGGGGCAAGGCAGGCCGAAAGATTTTTGGTTTTGTTTATTTTTAATTCCAAAGCTTGAATGTGAATATTAGGGATAAAACCTGGAAGACTCAGAGCATACAGTACATGTCATAAGCTATAGAGCTGGAAAGAATAGGTGATAATATTATAGAGGATGGTAGTGAGTCATATACTACCAATGCCTAGATAATTCATAAGACGCTTCCAGAAATTTGGATCAGGCCTGGAGACGAGGGGAGAAAGGGAGAAGGAGGTGGAAGAGAAAACCCTTGAATGTGGCAATTTATCTAAAGAAAATGAGTTTTCCAAAAATGACTAAGTTATAGTGACTTGGCAAGATTACATTTTCTGCAATCTACTCAACAGAAATTGGGGGCTTGAAATCCAAACTCCATTTTTAAGCAGTTTTTTAAGATTTTATTTATTTGAGAGAGAGAGAGCGAGCCCATGAGTGGGGGTAGGTAGTGGGGGTGGGTATTGGTGCTGAGGGAGAGGAAGAAGCAGACTCCCCGAAAAGCAGGGATCCCTATGGGTGGGGCTCAGTCTCAGGTCCCTGCTATCAAGATATGAACGGAAGTCAGATGCTTAATCAACTGAGCCACCCAGGAGCCCCTTAAGCAGTTTTTTTTTTAAAGCCGAGAATGTGTAAACCTGAATTAACAAGGGCTGGAACTATAAAATTCATACCCAGCATACTAGCTTTTATTGAGTTTCCAGGGTACTACGGACACTAGGCTCAGAGCCTTATACACATTATCACATTTAGTCAATCCAGGGGAAAAAGTGATCTGAGAGGCTGGCTCGGTATTTTCTATTTGCTGCTCCACAGCCTTATCGACTTTGCTCTGTGCCAAGAGAGGCTCACTGATATGAACCACCAGCTCCTTATCCTTGCCCTTCTTATGGGGAGGATTGGTGGAGAGGGAGATCTGGGTACTTACTCCACTGGCTCTCTTTCTGTCATATTCCCTTGGATTGCCTTCATTCTTCCCATCAGACAGCCCTTTCTATTGCTACTGTTATGGACTGAATGTTTGTGTCCCCCTCCCTCAAATTCATATATTAAAACCCTAATCCCCAAAGTGATATTTGGAAGTAGGGCCTTTGTGGGGTTTTTTTGTTTGTTTTTTTAAAGATTTTATTTATTTATTTATTTGACAGAGAGAGACCCAGCAAGAGAGGGAATACAAGCTGGGGGAGTGTGAGAGGGAGAAGCAGGTCTCCTGCTGAGCAGGGAGCCCAATGTGGGGCCCGATTGCAGGACCCTGAGATCTCGACCTGAGCGGAAGGCAGACACTCAACTACTGAGCCACCCGAGAGCCCCGGAAGTAGGGCCTTTGGATGGCAATTAGGTCTAGACGAAATCATGAAGGCAACCCCCTATGACAAGATTAGCTTTCTTCTAGGAAGAGGAAGAGAGACCAGAGCTTGCTCTTTCTCTGCCGTGTGATGACATGTGGAAAGGCAGTTGTGTGCAAGCCTGGGAACCAGCTCTCACCAGGAACCGAATCTGCCGAGGTCTGGAGCTACGGCTTCCCAGGCTCGAGCTATGAGAAACAAACATCTGTTGTTCAAGCTACCCAGGCTGTTGCATTTTGTTGAAGCAGCCCAGCACCCTAAGACAGCTACCCTCTCAGAATTCCAGGGCCACTGCCCTCCATGGCCTCTTCAGGCACAGGGGAGATAGGGGACCCCCATACCACCCATCTCAAAGCCCTGTGCTATTCCTTTCTGACTTCCGTAAAGCCCACCCATGAGTTATAGGCACCTTCCACTGACCGGGTCAGAGAGTGCCCTCTCTTTCCTGCTAGGCCACTAATACACACATAGTTCCTAAGCAGAGATGGGGTGACCATTTCTCAACAGGAATTTTGCCATCTATGGAGCTACGTGGCTCTTCATGCTTCTTCCAACTTGGAGAGTCTTTCTGTTTAACAGTTACACTAATGAAGACAGTCTTTGTGTTTTTATCCAATTATACGTGACACAGCAACATTTTCCCAGAAAAAAAGTTTACATTCCATTCAGCAAGCTTATTTTGTCTATCCTCCCGGAAGCTGTTGTGTGAACCGACCCCCCCCCCCCCCCACGGACCCCCTGAACACGATTTAAAAGAAAAAGGAATGGAGAAAAAGCAAATGACAGCCCAGCCTCAGGGCCGGTGGGTAGCCATGGACTGGGCGTCCCCGGACAGTCGGCGGCTTCTCTGCCTTAGACGGCTGGTTCTCTAGAGATGGGATTCTGATTCCCAGAATGTTGCTCACCGGATGAAGAAGGCCTCCTGTCCTCACAGGGCTCAAAGCTTCGGCTGGATCGCCATGATTCTGAAAGCCGAAACACAGAGCCGCCCCCTGTGTGCTCCCTGTGTGCTCAGCTCCCCTGGAGAGACCGAATCTGCAAATACTACGGTAAGACAGAGTGAGAAAAAAATAATGAAGGAAACGCTCCAGTGAATCTCAAATCATTTCACTTTACTATCCCATCTCCTTTTGTCTTATAATGGGGAATGATTGCCAAATTGTTGTTCACATTGTTGTGATTACTGCGAACAATCCCTCACACTTGTCTAAGGCTTTATAATTCATGGAGCATCACATTTTATTCTCACAAGGATCTCGTGTGTGTGCGTGCATGCACACACACACACACACACACACACACAACTGTGAAAATAAATAGGGCAGGTATTCTCTTTTATTTTTATTGTTGGTGTTCTGTTTATCTTTAAGTTCTCACATTATCTTATCTCTTCCCATTCCAACCCTTCAGTGTTTTTGTGATATATTATAAATAGGCCTTTTCTTGATCTTCATAATAGTAATCTTATTAGTAATATTATGTGTTCTATATTATTTGTTCGATATTCATTTGTTGACTATCTTCTGTAAACAGTGAAGTGTTATGGGGAATACGAGACCATTTCTGTCCAGTAGAACTTTCTGCAGCAATGAAAATATTCTAAATGAGTTGTCGAAAACTGACCTCTGTGTTATGGAGCCAAAATATAAAATGAAGAGAGAATGTGGGATGAAGAAGAACAACAGTTTGATTGTTGTGCCAGCAGGAGAGGCTGCTGCAAGCCTGCCTGAAGGAAGGGGCTGGAAGGTTTTTGGAGGAAATACAGGATCGAGCCAGTTTTGACAGGAATAGTATACCGGCTGTCAGCTTTGCTCATCATGTTTTTAGGGTGGTAGTAGACTCCTGAAACAAAAGGTTAAGAAGGGAAGAGGGGAGGCTTGCAAAAGAAAGGAAAAAGGTTACTTTAAAATCGAGCTTGGGGGACGCCTGGGTGGCTCAGTTGGTTGAGCGGCTGCCTTCGGCTCAGGTCATGAATCCGGCGTCCTGGGATCGAGTACCACATCGGGCTCCTTGCTCATCGGGGAGCCTGCTTCTCCCTCTGCCTCTGCCTGCCATTCTGTCTGCCTGTGCTTGCTCTCTCTCCCTCTCTCTCTCTCTCTGACAAATAAATAAATAAAATCTTTAAAAAAATAAAATAAAATAAAATAAAATAAAATCGAGCTTGGCTGAAGCATTAGTACATCCATTTTGATTTTTGTTCAACTTTATTCTTTTAAGCATTTTCCAAGGTACTGTGTCCATTATGATAGCAACTAATTGCATGTGACCATTGAGCATTTGAAATCTGGCTAATACAACTGAGGAATCAAATGTTGAATTTTTTTGGAGAGGTTGTGCTAAACTATCATATTTACAAAAACAGCACAAAAGTTAATTCAACCGCCAATACTCATGCACACTTCGTTCACGTCTTCAGCAACAGATATTCTAACCCTATAGAATGGAATTAGAACACTAGCTTCAACGGCAGCGGCTAAGCCCCAGAATCACACAAGTTACACCAGAATGGGCAAATACTGCCCAAGTAAAATTCTATTGTTAAAGGGGGAACAGGTCTAAGGCCATTCAAGTTCAAGCACAGAGATACAAATCTTTCAGAGCCCCATCTATTTTTGTTTGAAGAATGTGACCTTCCTTCCTACTTGTGGCCTTAAACTTCTGCTTTACAAAATCCAAAAGGAAAATACAGAAGAAATCAATACAATAGGGGTTATGTTAAATAAGCGTAACATACATAGCTATAATTAAAACGAATTCAAAAAGCCAAAACATTAGAATTGTAAAACTTGCTTGTTACTTGTTGAATCAGTCCTATACTGGGAGTTAGGTAATAGATACAATTATTTTCAAGAAGATTATGTTAACTTATCTTAATTTAATGTTAATTTTTAAAAAGAGTATTTATTTATTTGAGAGAGAAAAAAACAGAGAGCACAAGCAGGGGGAACAGGCAGCAGGAGAAGCAGGCTCCCCGCTGAGCAGGGAGCCTCATACAGGACTCAATCCCAGGATCCCAGAATCATAACCCAAGCCAAAGGCAGACGTTTAACTGACTGAGTCACCCAGGCACCCCTAATGTTAACTTTTAAAAATCAAAATGTTTTGACTTCAATAGTTGTTATCTTTGGCAATGCATCTCTAGAACCAGGATAGCTACTCCTCTCTTGCAGGAATTTAGAATCCAAAGGGATGTTGTTGTAGACGTGGGGGGCCAGCAGGAGGCATGGCTTGAGAACAATTACAAACCTGTATAAAATTCAAAATTATACAAAATATATCTAAACACTGAGATCATCTAATGAAGCTATCTGTGCGGGATGAGGTTTATGGAAGGAAAGCATTCAGAGAAAACGGGATTTCAGGAACTGCTATGATGGAGGAAGGAAGAGTAGAGGCAAGTAAAAGGAAAAAGACCATTTGGAGGAATGAAAGAGATGGACCCCGAAGAACAGGAGATGGGTGGGGGGGAAGAGATTCACACCCAGCCTGCTGACAGACTTTGAAGCAAATCTGAAGTGAATGTGGATATTGATCCTGATTAGGGAAGGCTGACACAATACGCCAGTCTAAGGATACCTTTCTGGCATAAGGAGTATTTCAAGAAGCAGCAGACACCGAAGCGCTGAAACAGAATAGAAGTTACCCTTTTTTTTTTTTTCTTTAAAGATTTTATTTATTTATTTGACAGAGAGAGAGAGAGAGAGAGAGAGCGAACACAAGCAGGGGGAGTGGCAGGCAGAGGGAGGGGGAGAAGCATGATCCCTGCAGAGCAGAGGAAGCCAGATATGGGACTCAGTCCCAGGACTCTGGGATCATGACCCAACCGAAGGCAGTGGCCCAAGAAACTGAGCCACCCAGGCGCCCCTGAAATTACCCTTTTTTAAGAGAAGTTCATATTTATTAGGAAATTTCAATTTGTAAGGGTGTCTCCCTCTCTGTACCAGGAAGAGAAGGATGTCTTAGTCACAAGAAACTCAACAATGCAGAAGTCATGACTTAAATCATCATGGCAAATCTCACTCTCGTTTACCATACTTGTCCTGCTTATCTCCCTATAATTGACTTCCCCCACACCCTTCTTTCATCCATAGCTAAAGATGGTTTTCAAGCCTGAATTCCACAGCACCTCTGAGAGGTAGTTCCTCAATTTTTGGAGTACATCATACATTAGATATACGTTACCAACTCCTGTTTGTATTTCTCTTATTAATCTTTTTTATTTTTCATTTTTTAAAAAGATTTTTATTTATTTATTTGACAGAGAGAGAGAGAGAGATCACAAGGAGGCAGAGAGGCAGGCAGAGAGAGAGGGGGGAAGCAGGCTCCCTGCTGAGCAGAGAGCCCTATGTGGGCCTTGATCCCAGGACCCTGAGACCATGACCTGAGCTGAAGGCAGAGGCTTAACCCACTGAGCCACCCAGGCACCCTTTTTAAATTTTTATTTATTTTTAGATTTTATTTATTTATTTGAGAGAGAGTTAGCTAGAGAGAGAGACCACAAGCCGGGAGAGGGGCAGAGGGAGAGGGAGAAGCAGACTCCCTGCTGAGCAGGGAGCCCCATCCTCAGGCTCAACGTTAGAACCCTGGAATCATGACCTGAGCTGAAGATGCTTAACCAATTTAGAGCCACCCAGGCACCTCTAATCTGTCTTTTTTAAAGGGCTCCAGCTGAGAACTTAGAAGGGTAAAGAGACCTATATTAGTAACATTGGAAACCATTATTGGGTAGTGTGGACAATGCAAGAAAAAAACAAGTGGAGAGGAAGAAAGAAAACTAGAGGAAAGTAAAACAAAACAAAATCCTAGAAATGTTGGAGTGCTGTGACCTGACACATCTTTTGTTATTTCATTTATTTCCTAAAAACGGTTTCAAATATTAACAGAAGATTAGCTAACCATTTGCTGGTTTCTGAATTTGTGTAGGAGAGGAAATTTTTATTCTACCCTTCTAGGTTCTGTGGCTGGTCTAATAATTAAAATGACATAGGACAGATTAACAGAAGAAAAACAAATTTAATTATGTACATGTACAGGAGACCCAAAAAGGAGCCAGTCAATTGACGTTTATATAACATCACGAGCTAAGGAAAGGAAAGGGGCCTGGGGCTTCAAAATGAAGAGGCGGTTTATAGGAAGGGGAGAGGAGGAAATATTTGGCAAACACAGTTTGTGTAGATCAGTTTCCTAAGTAAAAATGTTTATCTCTGAGACAAACCATAAGTGACTCTTAATCTCACAAAACAAACTGAGGGTTAATGGGGGGGTGTGGGGGGGTGGGATTATGGACATTGGGGAGGGTATGTGCTATGGTGAGTGCTGTGAAGTGTGTAAACCTGGCGATTCACAGACCTGTACCCCTGGGGATAAAAAGATATTATATGTTTATGAAAAATAAAATTTAAAAAAAAAAAAATGTTTATCTCTGGTAGTAGCTCTCTTCCTGATATAGGCCCCCAATGTAAATTTCCTTTCCAATTGCAGATTTCCCCCACAAATGGAAAAATCTATATTTCTTTTAGGCATTTAAGGGGGAGATTAAAAGCTTTTTCTGAGCCTTCTGGGTCTTGACTGCCTTCAGCTCAAAGAAATCCTCATGCAGGAGTGGCATTTTTTCTTTTTTTGGAGGAGAGGGAGGAGATGGTCTTGTTCTGAACCCCTTTGTCTGCATTATATTAGGAAATATATACGGTCTTTTATTATTAAACATAAACCCCAGCTCTTTGGCCAATGATAATGTATTTAATCTAATGAATTTCCACTTAACCCCTCTTTTCCTTCAACTCTATAAACACACACACTTCACACTCCTGCCCAACACCATGTTCAGAACAGGACTTCTCAAACTATCCGAGGTGAAGAACCAGGTTTTCTTTTCCTAATCCATCATGAACTCAAACTTTCATAAAATACAACAAAAAAAGAATAAAACTAGAAAAATGGAATAAAAAGACATACAGAATATAAAGGAAGTTTTCTGCTCTTAGATTCAATATATATAAATGTACTCTGACGTTGTTGCTTTAAAAGTTTCTAAATGTTTACCC